AGAAAAATAGCAATTGGTAACTGTGAAATGAAGGCGGATGGTTACTATCATTTCTTTCAAAGGGGCTGAAATAGATTGGATTCTAAAATGTTTCTTACTTGGGAGAAATGTATCCATATCCGCAGATATAAAGTGCAAAGAGACAAATTGTAAAAACTTTCTGATTTGGAATCTGCTTTTAGGCAGAAACAAAGCACCCCTGATGTAAATAAATATTCGTGACAAGGTGTGTGTGTGAGTTGAGAGATTAATAGAATAAGGCATTTTAAATATCAAATTTGAAAAGGCACTTTCCTTTTTCCTCTCTAAATAGGAAGGCTTCAGCCATCTGTAGCATGCCGTAAATTATGGAGGCACATGGAAAGTATTTGCTGGAAAGGCATTGAGCAGAGCAGGACTTGAGCAATTTTATCAGTTCACAAATCCTTTTCTTCTTCAGATCCGTTGCAGCTGGGTACTTCCTTCCTATGACAAATTAAAGTTCTGTTAACTTCCACGGATTTTAACGTGTACAAAGTACTCCAGTTTAGCAATCTCATGCTGATTTCCATATTGGCTTCATTTGGTTCCTGCAGCAGCAATTATGGTTTGGATAATGCACTGAAAATTTGCCAAAGCACAGAGGTCCATGTGTTTGCGAAAATTCCCTGCTCATTACATAGGCATCCATTGTGTTCAGTTTTTCTAACCTTAAAACCCATTCCTAATTTTGTTTTATACAATGGCATTATTCTTCTACAAACATACAAATCATGTGAAGACCCATGAGCTTTTACAGATACATTTGACCAAGTATTCCAAGGTATCTTGTTCAAGGTGACAAAAGGGCCATCTGCAGTGTTTAATGCAGTTTTAAACTGCTATTTGAAGAAAGCAGTGCTGTGTGGTGCCTATGAATAAATAGGAAATCCTGGAACCAGTTTGAGGCCCAGATAGTGATTACATAAACGACAGAGCACAGGTGTACATTAAGGGCTTTCTTTTGCATGCTTTTGTGGGAGTTTGTTGTCTGATCACTGCAGCTTGAAGCTACCTCTGAACTACATTAAATGGTCAAAACAGATAGGGCCAAAGTCCCAATTAAACTACACAGTCCTACATAGTCCCATCAGGTGGCCAATGTCACTATGCAGTTGGACAGACACTTAAACAGCACATGCCCTATTCCTTCACCATTTATGAAAGGACACCTACAGTTCTAAACATACCGAAAAATGTACATGCCACAAATGAAGTGAACCCTTATTATGTTACAACTGAATTAGACTTAACAATGCATCTACATTGTAGAATTAATGTAGTTTCATCCCACTTGAACTGCAATGGCTCAACACTATGGAATCCTAGGATCGATAGTCTTTCAACGCCTTTAGCCTTGTTTGCCAAAGAGTGCTATCATCTCACAACTGTGTAGATTCCAATGGCATTGAACCATGACAGTTAAAAGTGTGGCCAATCTGCATTATTTCCGCAGTGTAGATGCACCCTTATTTTGAGGTACATTATGTGTTAGCATCCATGTATATTTGCCAATTAGTGCAGCAGAGGGGCAGTATTTAGAAATGAAAACTAAGATTTTTGGGAAGCAGAACTATCACATAATCATGGCACAAAGACAACACTGACTTTATATATCTCAGTAGGTTTAGGGAGGTATTTATTCGAGCTAGATTTGATCAGCTTGATACAATGGTCAGTGAGATATGGGAGGTTTAACAGCATCCCTTATAATGAACAGATTTGTATCTGCGGAGCACCTGAAATTGAGGATATAGCACACATATTATTTGCTTGTAGTCTGTACCAGAAAGTGAGATACTTGTACTTTGGTTCATATATCAAACGGACAATTTATTGGGAATCCCACACCAGAACAACATATTTTATGTGTGGCCAAGATCCAAAACTAACATATACAACAGTTGTGTTTTTAAGCAAAGCAATATGTCTGAGCAATATGTGGGGCTGATTGGGGTAAATTGTAGGGGTTATGCGGAAGCATGATATAAATATTTTACTTAACTTACTATATGGAGTGTAATCAAGTTTTATCAAGCCCTTTTGTTTGGTTTGGTATTGTGATATGGCCTAAGAGCTAATCAATAAAATTTACTAATACTATCTCAATAGGAAGAAAAATGTCCTGGTTCTCTTGTATAATAATTGTTGAAACATCATGAATAGATTTCTGTAGTACAACAAATATTTATGGAGGGAAAATAAAACTGTTTACTCGGCTATAAAATAACAGCTTCATGGTAGTATTGCCTAAGACATGTTGGTTTATTGCATCTGTCCTCTTTTATAATGTGTCTAAATGCCTATTTATTTGAGCGGAGAGGATGTACACTTCATTTATTATACCAAACATTCACTGACTTCTACAAAGCCAGGTGTTCAGTTGGTGAATTATGTACAAAACGTACAGATTTCATACTCACCATCTGCATGATAAATTTGTGCAACTAATACAGCAAATGTTATTTTTTTTATTTCTTTTGCCAAATGGCTTCTCAATCTGACTACTTGATTACTTACTTGCTAACTTATAATTTTTTTTAAATGAGGAAGAATAGTGGGCGATATATTAAAGAGAGATGCATTTTAAAATGTTATAGCAGTAATACATAGTATTCTTGTTCTTAATGAAAAAAAGGAATCGGTTGATTTTGCTTAGGTGGATTTCTAATGGACCAATGTGCCCACTTTTCAAAGATTTTAGGGAAATGTTTGAGCCCTTTTTTGTTTTCTTGTTTACATTGAGGAAGTCTTCAATTTTATATCCCTTGTAAATGAAATGGACTCTTAACTCAAAAGGACACTATTTAGGGTACACGCAGGCTCCTATATTTATGAAAGCCTGACCCCTTGTGGTTCCAGATATATTGTTCCTTCTTTGAATGTTGTTCACAAGACATCTATTGACTAAATGTAAAATGAATGCAGATTGACATCCCTTTAACTGCCATGGCTTAGTGCTATGGAATCATGGCAGTTGTAGTTTTACAAGATCCTTAGCCTTCTCTGCCAAAGAGTGTTGGGTGCCTCGCCAAACTACAACTCCATATCATTGAGCCACGGCAGTTAAAGTGGCGTCAAACTGCAATGATTCCTATTCAACCCCTATGAAAATGTCACCAAATGCTTGTGCCCATCATAAACATCCTAACAATAAACCTCACATACTAAGGATAAGTTAAACATATATCAGTAAGAAGGGTCTATTAGGATTGATCCTTTTGACTCTAACATTTGGATTTTTTTTCTTTGAGGGGGGTTGCTTTCCTTATTTATTCAGCCCCTAAATAAATATACAAGGGGGGTGGTGGTGTCTATTTACACAGGCAAGCTCCTGCCTCCACAAACAGCTATAGCTCCCACTACTCCAAAGGCCTTCCCTCCAGTGACACTACAGGTTATAGTGACCACTGTAAACATATCCAAGATCTCTGTCAGTGTCTTCCACAAATGCTATACTGCCCACCACCCAAGTGAAGGCTTTTATACGGGGACAATTTCATCCTAAATTTCATGTGTTTCCTCCACAACAGACATCCCATGCTTTTGATTCTTTCTATCGGTGTGGAATTTGCATGACCCCACCCATTGCCTCTCCCTTAGCCCTTTCCTATTATTTTCTATGGCACACAGCAAACAGGATTGATCTGCAACTGAACATACTAGAGAGGTCTGCGGAGAATTTACCATGATTTAAAGGAGTTGTAGGTAATGGGATGTGTAGTTCACCTGCAATCTGAGAGCACTCTGAACTCCACTAACTGGATCTAACTTCGTGCACAGAGCCCTCATAACTAACAAAACATAGTGGATGTCTTTATAAGAGTTGTAGTTCACCTACATCCAGAGTGCACTATGAATCAAACAACGATGGATCTGGACAAACTTGGCATGCATACCCAATATGCCCAGATTTGAATACTAGTGGGTTTTAAGGGAAATTGGGCTGGGCATTTTGGAGTTGAAGGTCCTGGGATTTATAGTTCACCTGCCATTAATGAACACTCCGAACTCCACTAATGATGGAATTGGACTGAACTTGGCACATGGAGCTCCCATGACCAGCAAGAAATACTGGAGGTCTTTGGGGAAAAATTCACCTTGATTTGGGGGAGTTGTAGTTCACCTACATCCAGAGAGCACTGTGAACCCAAACACCGATGAATCTGGACCAAACTTGGTCACATACCTGATATGCTGAAATTGGATTACTGGAGGGGTTGGGGGGAGGGGGCTAACTGACCTTCCTTTCTGGGAGTTATAGTTCACCCACAAACTGAGGGAAACTGTGACCTCCACCAATGATGGACCTGGTCCAAACTTGGCACATGGAGCCCCCATGACCAGCAAAAAATACTGAAGGTCTTTGGTGAAAATTCACCCTGATTTGTGGGAGTTGTAGTTCACTTACATCCAGAGAGGACTGTGAACCCAAACACCAATTGATCTGGACCAAATTTTGCACACATACCTGATTTGCTGAAATTTGATTACTGGAGGGTTTTTTTTTAAGGGGGGGGGCATTGACCTTCCTTTCTGGGAGTTGTAATTCACCCACAACCAGGGAAAGTGTGCCCTCCACCCTCACCTACAATTAATGAGTACAATTAATGAGTACTCTGAACTCCACCAGACTTTGCACACAGAGCCCCCATGATCAGCAAAAAATACTGGAGGTCTTTGGGGGAAATTCACCCTGATTTGTGGGAGTTGTAGTTCACCTACATCCAGAGAGCACTGTGAACCCAAACACCCATGGATCTGGGCCAAACTTGGCACAGAGAATTGACTTTTTTTAAATAACCTGGGGCACCCAAGCTAGTACACAATAAAAAAAAAACCTTTCCTTTCCAAAGAACACACGCAATCGGGCCTTCTCTCCTTGCCCGATGTTCCTAAGCGCCTGCCCGTTGCCCGTAGCAACAAGGAAGACCCGCCCACCCAAGATGGCGGCGCCCAGGACGCGCCGCTCCAGCTGCCCTCCCTCCCGCGTCTCTATGGTCACGGCGGAGGCCTTGTGGGCGGCGAGTCCCGTGACGGGTTCCGCGGTGACGGTGGCCGGCAGGAGCGAAAGAGCGAAGGAACAAACAGGAGGAGCAGGAGGAGGAGGAGGAGGAGGAGATGGCGGACGGTAAGGAAGAAAGGCTTGGTGGGAGGAAGGAGGGAAGGAAGGAAAGGGAGGGAAAGCAGAGGCCGGCGGAACTGAAGGGAGCCGGAGAGGTAAGGAAGGGGCCAGGGAGGCGGAAGGGGGAAAGGGAAAGCGGGGAAGGGGCGCCATTTCACCTCAAGATCTACATGGAAGGGCGGAGAAAAGGAACACGTGAGCGGAGACGGGAGAGGAGGGAGGGTCGTGGGAGACATTATAAAACAGGCCTGGGCAAACTGGGGCCCTCCAGGTGTTTTGGACTCCAACTCCCACCATTCCTAACAGCCTCAGGCCCTTCCTTTTCCCCCTCAGCCGCTTTAGTGGGAGTTGGGAGTCAAAATCACTTGGAGGGCCCAAGTTTACCCATGCCTGGCGGCCCAAGTTGGCCCAAGCCTGCTCTATACAGTCTGGGGGGGGGGGGTCTAGAGGGAAGGTCTGTGGGGAATGGGTATCCAGAGTGGGAAATTAGGGGAAAATGGGTCTAGAAGGGGGAATTTGATCAAGGCAATTTATTTACTGCGTTTTAACCCTGCTCTCTCTACCCCAAAGGGGACTCAAAGTGGCTTCCAAATCGGCAATAATTCAACGACACTTTTAACATAAAAACATACCTATTTATTTATTTATTTCCAGCATGTCTACCCCGTTCTTCTCAACCCCTGAAAGGGAACTCAGGACAGCTTACATTTGGCCATTAAATATAACGAAGCGGGAGCCCCCGGTGGTGCAGTGGGTTAAACCCTGTCCTGGCAGGACTGAAGATCGACAGGTCGCAGGTCCGAATCCGGGGAGAGGTGGATGAGCTCCCTCTATCAGCTCCAGCTCCTCATGCGAGGACATGAGAGAAGCCTCCCAGAAGGATGATAAAAACATCAAATCATCTGGGCGTCCCCTGGGCAATGTCCTTGCAGATGGCCAATTCTCTCACACCAGAAGCGACTTGCAGTTTCTCAAGTCGCTCCTGACACGACAAAACAACAACAACAACAAAGCAATATAACAACAATTAAAACAATAAATAGAACATTGATTAAAACAATAAAAACAGTATTAACCGCAGTAACATCATTCCAGTCAATTCCATATCCAAAGTGCTATCTATGTCTGTTGTCCAAAAGCCTGGTTCCAGAACCACTACTTCGATTTCTTCCTAAGTGACAGGAGGGATTGAGCTGATCTTACCTCAGTGGGAAGCGAGTTCCGCAGGTGAGGGGCCACAGCCGAGAAGGCCTGTCTCTCATCACCGCCAGACGTATTTGTGACGCTGGCAGGAGGGAGAGCAGGTCCTCCCTGGATGATCTTAAACTGCGAGGCAGGATGTAGAGGGAGATGTGTTTGGACAAGTAAGCTGGGCCAGAACCGTATAGGGCTTTATAGGTCAAAACCAGCACTTTGAATTGAGTTTGGAAGTGGGTCGGCAGCAAGTGGAGCTGACACAACAAGGGGGTGGTGTGCTCCCTGTATGTCACTCCAGTTAGTAATCTGGCTGCAGCCGTCGGACTAGTTGAGGTTTCCGAACAGTCTTCAAAGGCAACCCCACTTAGTAACTCTTGTTACATCTGTTCGCGATGTAACAAGAGCGTGGACCATTGTTGCCAGATGAGACTTCCCAAAGTACAAATTACAATATACTGTTCAGCCCTCCCACCCCCCGGTGGCGCAGAGAGTTAAACCGCTGAGCTGCCGAACTTGTTGACTGAAAGGATGGCAGTTCGAATCCGGAGAGGAGGGTGTTCGCCCCAGCTTCTGTCAACCTAGCAGTTTGTTAACATGCATATGTGAGTAGATCAATAGGTACTGCTTCTGCAGGAAGGTAATGGCGCTCCATGCAGTCATGCTGGCCACATGACCTTGGAGGTGTTTACAGACAACGCTGGCTCTATGGCTTAGAAATGGAGATGAGCACTATCCCCCTCCCCCGAGTTGGACATGACTAGACTTAATGTTAGGGGAGCATGAAAATCATCAAACAGACAAATAAATACATTAAATAAACTGTTAAAACAGTGCACATAGACACAAAATCATAATTCAGAAACCGTTCCAATCACATTTCTATTCACTTTTTAGATGCATATAACCCTCTCCAAAAGCTTGGTTCCATAGCCAGCATTTGGTTAACTTGGGGCCCTTCCACACAGCCTTATATCTCAGAATATCAAGGCAGAAAATCCCACATTATCCGAATGGGGACTCAGATAGCCTAATTCAAATCAGATATTGTGAGATTTTCTGCCATGATATTCTGGGATATAGGGCTGTGTGGAAGGGCCCTTGCTTTCTAAAGGACAGGAGGCAGGGGGCCGATCTCATTTCACTGAGAAGGGAGTTCCACAGCTGAGGGGCCACCACTGAGAAGGTCCTGTCCCTTACTCCCGTCAGCCACACTTGTGAGGAAGGTGGGGTTGAGAGTGGGGCACCCCCAGAAGATCTTAATGCCCGGGATGGTTCATAGGGGAGATACAGTTCTAGAAATGAGGTTCTAGAGGGGTTCTAGAGAGGTCTAAAGGATTTGGGTGGAAAGGTGGGTCCATGATAAATGGGATCTGGAGTGAGGTGAAAAGAACAGAAGTAGCAAATGTTTTCTGTATCTATCACGTTTATAGGGGTCTACAGGGGGAAATGAGGGTCTAGAGGGGGACCTTTGGGTTCTAGAGGGGGAAATGGGAATCTACAGCAGGCATAGACAAATCAGCTGTTTTCCTTTATTCAGTCCCCCCCTCTTGACCCATTACCCCCAGACCCAMTAGATCGGGCATGGGCTTGGCCCTCCAGGTGTTTTGAACATCAACTCCCACCATTCCTAATAGCCAATAGAAAATGGGGGGGGGGAGTCTAGTGGGGAAAATTGAAGTCTCTGGGCTGGAGAGGGAGTTTGCCCATGCCTGATCAAGAGGGCCTGGGGAGTAGGTCAAGAGGGGGACACTGGATAAAGGGAAATGGGGTTCTAGAGGGGTTTTGGGGTGCCTAAAGGGTGGAAAGGCCAGGTCAGGGGAAATGGGGGCCCAGGGGGAAAGAGAAATGGGGTCTGGAGCGGTTCTAGAAAGGAACAGAGGTAGTGAATTCTTGCCATCCACACACACACACACACACATGTATATGTATGTATATTCCTTTATCCTTTATCTGATTTGTTGTCAATTCACTCCTTCAGGCTTCACCCAAATCTTGACAAAATATATATGATCCTGTGCTATTCCTTTCCATTTCTCACCAAATAGCTTAAATTTGGAGAATATTTGGGCTTTGATATTTTAGCAATTCAATTCTGCAGCAATATTGTTCGGGTTGCTAGCCCTTGTGACCTTATAGCCACTTGTCCTCCCGTCTGTTCCGGGGCTCAATTCCAACTGCTGATGGACGAGATACTATTGAGTTCTATCTTCCTGGTTGCCCTCTTCATTCTGTGGCCCCAGAGATTACATGTATGTACATATGTGTGTGTGTGTGTGAGCAGGCATGGGCAAACTTCAGCCCTCCAGGTATTTTGGACTTCAATGCGCGGCTGTTAGGAATTATGGGAGTTGAAGTCCAAAACAACTGGAGAGCTGAAGTTTGTCCATGCCTGCTTTAGAGGGTGTATAAAGGGTCTAGAGGGGGACATTTGGGTTCTACAGGGGGAAATGAGGATCTGGGGGGTTCTAGAAAGGGAAAGTGGGGTCTAAAGGTGGAAGATATGTTTAGAGGGGAAAATGCGATCTAGAGGAGGAAATGAGCTGTGTGGAGGAGGGAAAGGAACATAGATTGGGAATGCCTGACCCCTCCCCTTTTAGAGAGGGATTGCATGAATGCCTTGGGAAGGGAAGTATCAGCTATAAAGGACTCAGTGAAGAAATTGGGTGGGGGGAGTCAAAGGAGGGAGAGGTGACAGTGTTCTGCTCCCTTTTTCAGAGAGGGATTCCACCTGTACAAAGGACGCCTCAGCCTCCCGCAAAGAAGGGAGACGTGTGTGTGTGTGTGTGTGTGTGTGTGTATGTCCCAGAGGAGTTGAGGGAGGGCTGTGCTTGGTGGTATTGCTGCAAAGCCTGGAGGAGGTTGGGCCTAGGAGAGCACCAGGCGGGAGGAGCTGCAGAAAAGGAAAGAAAAGAGAGGGGAAGGCGAGGAGGAGCAGGAAACCTCTGGATCACAAAAAGCACCCACACCCTTTTGGAGCAGGTAGCACTGCCACAGACAGCCTCTTCAAGTGGCTAAACATGATTCATCCCCCCATCTACACTGTGGAACGAATGTAGCGTGACACCACTCGAACTGCTGTGGCTCAGTGCTGTGGTATCATGAAGGTTGTAGTTTTACGAAGTCTTTAGACTTTTTTGCCAAAGAGTGCTTGGTGCCTCACCAAACTGCAGCAATTAGGATTCCATAGTATGGAGCTATTGCTGTTGAGTGCATTCCTTTGACAGTGTAGATCAGGCATGGGCAAACTTCAGCTCTCCAGGTGTTTTGGACTTCAGCTCCCACAATTGAAGTCCAAAACACCTGGAAGGTTGAAGTTTGCCTATGCCTGATGTAGATCCACTTCTGGCATTCTCCATCTAGTTGAAGAGTGTGTGCAAGACAGCAAATCACACTCTCTCAGCCTCAGTGGAAGGCAATGGCACATCTCACTCTGACTATCTTCCTCTAACACACTATCACCATAAGCTAGAGTCAATTTGAAAACACATAACAACAAAGCCACATGTGAAAATTTATAAGATACCATTGTTCAGTGAAGAAAAACTATTGAATTAATGCAGTTTGACACCATTTTAGTGAGATTGGTAGTTTAGCCTTCTCTGCCAGAGAGTGCTGTTGCTGCACCAAACTTTAACTCCTGTGATTCCATAGCAGAGAGCCACTACAGTTAAAGGGATGTCAAACTGCATTATTTCTACAGATAGATACAGAGAGTGCGACTGCTAGAACAAAATAGATTTCTGGTAAACATTTTTATTGACCCCTTATTTGCTGCTGAATTTCAGCAAGCTATATCGGATTGACATTAT